ATTGCATGCATTGCATTCATTGTATGCATTTCATGCATTATATGCATCACGTGCATTCATGTGTTGCATTCATTACATATTCTTAGATTGAATAAGATTTTACCTCAACGTAATGTATTAAAACTTTTGGGTATCAATGATGAAAACCTCTTAATAATTCCTCTTAAAACCTCTAGGTACATCTTTAAAACTTTTGAACTCTTTTTAAAATCCTCCAGGCAAGATCTATAAGACCTGAGTATGTTCTTTTAAAACTCTAGATATTCATTGTTAAAGTAGTTAGGCCTTTATTTAAAAAATCTTTTTTAAAGTTTGATTTATAAGACTTTCAGACATAATCACTAAGTCTTTCGACAAGATTTATAAGTCTTTCAAGCTAAATCTATTTTTAAAGTTTGATTTATAAAATCTTCAGACTTAATCACTAAATCCTTCGGGCAAGATTTGTAAGTTTTCTAAGTTAAATTTGTTTTAGTTTCGAGATTAGTAAAACTTCTGAAAGTAGTCTCTAAGTCCTTTTGGTAAGATTTATAAGTCTTTCGAGCTGAATCCGCTTTAGAGTCAAAATTTGTAGAACCTTCGTACATAATCTCCAAATCCTTCAGGCAAGATTTGTAAGTCTTTCAAGCTGAATCTATTTTAGAACCAAGATTTATAAAACCTTTAGACATAATCTCTAAGTTCTTTGGGTAAAATTCATAAATCTTTCGAGCTGAATCTGTTTTAAAATTGAGATTTGTAAAACCTCTAGCGTAATCTCTAAGTCTTATGGGTAAGATTCATAAGTCTTTAAGCTGAATTTATTTTAAAATCGAGATTTGTTCATAAGTTTTGTAAAACCTTCGAACATAATCTCCAAGTCTTCTAAGCAAAATTCGTAAGTCTTCTTAGCTTAATTTATTTTAGAGTCGAGATATGTAAAACCTTCGAGTATAATCTCCAAGTCTTCTAGGTAAGATTCGTAAGTCTTCTAAACTAAATCTATTTGTAAGACCTCTGGACTTAATCTCCAAGTCTTTTGGGCATGATATTTTAAAACCTTTAAGTACCTTTTTTTTTTTTTAAGTTGTAAAGCGTTTGTTTAAAAAACATTTTTCAATGAATGATTTGTAAGACCTCCAGGCTTAATTTTCAAGTTCTTTGGACGCAATCTATAAGACCTCCAAACATGATCATCAAAACTTTCGGGTGTTGTCTTTAATTTTTTAAGAAATTATATGCCTTTGTTTTCAAAGAGCTTTAAAAAAAAACAAAGAAAAATTTTGAATAATTTGGGCCCAGACGTAATGGATATTTATGACTTTGTACAATTCTTATTTCAAAAAAAATGTACAAAGAATGGCAACTATAGACACTCCATTTTGTCCGAGAATTCTTCAAAATTGAAACAAACCTTTGATCATAAATTAGGCTTTAATTGAAAAGCTTTGCCTAATGGGTTAAAAGCCCAAAAATTTTTATTTTTAATTTGATTTATTTTTTTAATTTTTTTTTGTCAAAACAAAAATAAAAAAAAAACAAAAAAGAAAAGTTGGAAACCTAAAAGAAGCAACATGTTGAAATCAATAAAATAAAAAATCAAGGGAAACTTTAAAGATGTACTCGAAATCTGAAAAATCATGAAATTATCTTTGCATTAATTCTGGAAATTAAATCTTGGTAAGGAAGAAACTAAATCATGGGTAAAAATGAGACTTTGAAAAAATCAAATCAGACCATGAAATTCTTGGCATTCAATGAAAATTCCAAAAATTTTTATAAAAAAACCTTATATAAACCTAATCAATCAAACAGAAATCATACAAAAAGAAATATGGAAAATATACAAAGATTATATGGGAGGCAATTGGCAAAAATCAAGCAATACATAGAAACAATTAAGCAATTTGGGATGTTAAAGTTTTTACGTTCTAAGTATTCAAGGCTAGGTGTTTTTTAAAATCGATTCTGGGATCCAATTCTGGTTGTTTTGAAAATAGTTTAGGATTTTTGAAATTTTTGAAATTTGTGGAAATTTTATTTTCTGGGACTGTCAGAGTGTTTTGGAAGTTAATGTTTTGATTCTTGCTTTTTTGGTTTGGATTGAGGTAATTTTTTGAGTTTTGAGATTGGGTTGGTTTTTAGTGAATTTTTGGATTTTTTTTAATTTGTTTGAATTTCTAGGTTTTTCTAGGTTTTGTATAAATTTTTTGTTGAATCTTTGAATTTACTAGTGAGGTTCACGATGACCAAAAGGTTTTAGTGCCAGCCATTTTCTAGGTTCATTCATTTTTTTGAAAAAATTTGAATTTTTTTTTGGCTAGTTGAATTTTTCGATGTCGGAATCTGGGTCATCTTGGGTTGTTGAATTTCACAGCAAAGGTTTTTTAGAGAGAAATTAAAGGAAAATCGAGTTAAAGAAAGAAATGGCCAAGGCATTCTGAAGAAAAAATTAATTTTTTGGCTTTTATATGCAATTGAAACGACGTCGTTTTAAAGAATCTTAACACATGTGAACTCATTAACGACTCGCATGAACTCGCTATAGACCCGTGCGCCTACCCACCAAGGATCCAACCCGATCACATGTTTTTTTTTCTTTTTTTTTATTTTTTGATGTTTTTATTTTATTTTATTTTTGTTTTGTTTTATTTTATTTCTTTTATTATTTTTCTTCATTTTCTGCTCACTATTCTAATTGAGTGATTAAATTAAAGAATGGAAAATTTTTGGTAAGATTATTTATGATGTTTTTATTTATTTATTTTTGCATGATTATTAATTAATTTGTATGATATTTTATTTTAATTGTATAGTAGTTTACATTTATTGCATGGTATATTATACTATTATTGCATGATTATATTAATATTGCGTGATACTATTTTGCAAGAAAATTTTTGTTTACTTTAATTAATTTTTTCTTCAAATTTAAAAAAAAATTTTCAAAAAAAATTTCAAAAATATTTTCAATCCTACTAAATTATTGAAGGATCTAAATCTTAAATTAAATCCCCAATAAATTTTCTCAAAACAAATAATTTTTCAATCTTACCAATATATTAGAGGATTGTTTTTTACAGAAAATCTTACCAACATATTAGAGAATATTTCTAAAAATAAATTATTTTTATAAAAATTAAATTTTAAATCTCCGATGATAGAATTATTAAAAACATGTAAATAACAATTTTTATATAAATTCTTAGATGAAAATTTTTTTAAAAAAATTTTACTAACATATTAAAAATTTTAGATGAGAATTTTTTTATACGAAGGTTCTAAATCTCTTTAGAAAAAAAATTTAATGAAACTCCCAAATCTAAATTTAATTTCGTATAAAGGTACCTAAATTAATTGAGATTTTTTTTTAAAATGGGATAAATTCAGTTAAGTAATCAATCATATCTAAACAAAAAAAAAATTATGACGACTCTTAAAATTTATATCTAATGATAAATTTACGAATTTATATATTATGACATATTACTTCATATAAGTTACATGTTATAGTATTTTTATAATTAAAATATACCCGTAACATAACACTTGCTTGACGGCTAATATATGTTAAAATGATACGATGGTCTATTGCATTAATTGTATTGCCCCACGTAACAATTGTATATTCATACAGAAAATAAAAATAAATAAATAAACACTACAGCTGACAATTACGGGTGTAATCGAATCGAGTCGAGACGATATAATGAGAAGCTCGAGCTCAACTCCCAACTCGCAGCTCAATACTCGGCTCGAACTCGATCAAGTTTCATTTTTCTAGCTCGAGCTCGATTCGTAATCAAAATTGAGCTACTCAAGTTCACTCAATTAAGCTCGATTAATATATAAAAATAAATTCGATTCTTAAACTCGATAAGAACTCGATTATTTGTGCTCGAACTCAAACTCGAATTCGAGATATTTTATTAATTAAAATAATAAAAAATTATTTAAATATAAAAGCTCAATTAGGCTCACGAGCTCTCGAGTTCAGTATAAAAATACTCGAACTTGACTAGATCGATGAGTCGAACTACTCGAGCTCGAACTTAACTCGATAATAATTAAATCGAATTCAAATTTTATTCAAATCGAACTTGAATACCTTACGAATATTAAAATATTATTTACATCCCTACTAACATCAAACTAGCTAGTCTGTACTAAAAACTTAGTCTAAAACTCTAAAACAAAAGCACTTACATCATCAAGCAGCATATTTTAGCAATGCTGGAAGTACTGCTAATAAGGACCGCTCAAAGATCACTAAAACTTACAGAAGAAACGGAAGCGACTTGAACACTCCAAAGAAAACCTTCCAAATTCCCATCGCAACCTCAACAGCATAAACAAGCCTCATGTGTTTTCCTTACACAGTCCCATGGTAGTCAGGGAGAAAAAATGGGTGATGACTTGTAAGGTTTTGGGTTTAAAATTGTTTAGAAAGAACGGAGACAGAGGCAGAGGAATAAGAAAACGAAGAAAATAAAGAGAAAATATGTAACCCAAAATTATTTAACACTATATATAATAAGGGAATAAAATATTTATCAAACTATAAGATAATTATTTTGATAAATATTTTGGATCGGATTGGGGTAAGTTTCACCTAAAATTATCTCATCCTATCTCCTTTTTTTTCTTTTTAAATCATTATGATTTGTTTGAATCATATTATTTTTTTAAAAAAAGTTATTTATATGATCAGATTAGGATTGGGTTAGAACGAATTAGATCGTTTTACCTACGGCCAGCACTGCCACAAAAATAATAAACTAGGGTTAGGAACCGGCATATTACAACTTCTTTGTTCCGTACCTCATACAGTAATTAATCAAGAGTCCAATAGCAAGCAAAAAATAATAATAATAAAGGCATGTAATTTATTTGAGAAAACCCGAAAGGATACCACAAAGTACTTAAACAAAACCAAAAGATATAAAATAAATTGTTATTAAAAAACATATAAAGGACGTTCCAAGACAGATTTTTTTTTTTTCTGAATGTATATAACTATAATTTTTTAACATAGATATATAATGAATAAAACTATTTCGGAGAATGCATAGTCGTATTCTTGATCTTTAATACACCCATATATATAACTAACATGCCTTATTCAAAAACCAAAAAAAGAAAAAACACTGATTATTGTCTCTCTTGCTCAGCCACGAAAAAGAGAAGGGATACTCTGTTCATGTCTGAAGAAATTTTGGGGATCTACCGTAGTCTTCACATGAATCAATCTGTTGAAGTTATTTTTCAAATATTTAAGACCCCATTTGCTTGCTTGTCCATAGCTTGTGTATTTACCAATGTTATTAATTCCAAGGTCAAGATCCCTGTAGTTCATGTAAGCTTCTCTGGGAGATTTTGAAACGTAGGGTTTCATGTACCTGTAAAGCCTTCTCATGTAACTTATATGCTTCTGAGATGCTGAAGGACCTTCCTCTGTCCATCCCACTCCATAATGAATGTTGAATAAATTCCCAGCCCTATGAGGGAAAGGAGTCTCAGACTCCGGAATCTCATTCATTATGCCACCATAAGGACTGAAGATAAGCTCCACTGACCCAGGTTCCTCTTCGTAAAACCATTGCCATAGACCTTCTAATGCAAATTCGGGAATAGGTTCCTTAACATAGTCCGATTTCCCTTTGAAGAATGAGGGAGTACCTGTCCTATTAAGCAAAATATCTAATGATTCACTTTGTGGGATTTCTGCGAAGTAGAGGATACTTTGGATCCAGCTCATTTCTATACAGTCTTCTTTCACCAATCCAAGCTCTGGAAAGCTTTCTTGCATCAATACAATTAGTTGATCAATTCTACCAAGAAACAAGGAAGTGAAAGAAGCTTGTATTGTTATTTTCCCTTGTTGTTGGCTTGAATTCACAGCTCTTAAAAAGAGTCTAAGGTACAAATCTTCATGAATCTTTTCTGCAACAGATTGCCACTTGTGAACAAGCATTGTTCCATTCTCTTCCAATGTCCTGTTCACCGTGAAGACAGTCACAGTTGATGGAACAGACACTAACTTTACTTTCCACGAGACAATGACTCCAAAGCTGGCTCCTCCACCTCCTCGAATGGCCCAGAACAGATCTTCCCCCATAGAGTTTCTATCAAGAAGTCTGCCATCAACATCAACTAAGTGTGCATCAATTATTTGATCAGCAGCAAGGCCAAACTTTCGCATCAACATGCCATAACCTCCCCCGCTAAAGTGACCTCCAACACCAACTGTGGGGCAAACACCAGCTGGGAAGGCAAGAGTTGTGCTTTTCTCTGCAATTCTGTAATACAATTCACCTATAGTAGCACCAGCTTGAACCCATGCGGTGTTATTTTCTACATCAATATCGATTGACCGCAAATTAATCAAATCAATGATGACGAACGGAACTTGAGAAACGTAAGAAAGACCCTCGTAGTCATGACCCCCGCTCCGTATTCTGATCTGCATGTCATGATTTCTTGAGCAATTAATGGTTGCTTGGATGTGAGAGATGTGGGAGGGGGTAACTATGACTAAAGGTTCCGGGGTGGTTGGTGTAGAAAACCTAGCATTCCGAATCGAAAACTCCAAGACTGATGTGTATGAAGGGTTATTTCGAGGATAAATGAGTTTGGTGAGAGAAGTAGAGTTACCAGAATGTAGGGAAAGGCATTGGAGGAAGCTGTCGTGATGATGAGTGTAGGCCAAAGTTGCCCATGAATAAGAGTAGAGAAGAAAAAGGAAGAGATAAGACATTGCGACCCTAGCTGTAGGAGGAGGTGACTTCATTTGGGTTGCTGGACTTTGTGCTTGGCAGACCCTGCACTCTCGCTTGCATTTTATAGCACCAATTACGGTCAAGCTGAGTTCCATACAGCCTTGCGTGTTAATTACATCTCTGACCTTTCCTACATATTCTCTATATGGAATGCAACTACTTTTCCCCCTTATTTTCGTTATTTTCACATTTCTCTTGCTGACCCTTGCATATACCGTTTATTTATCGGATAAAAGTTACAAAAAATTATTTAGGTGAAATTTGTAAAATTTATTTTTTAAAATAATTTAATAAAAATTTTAATTAAAAATTTAAATTGATAGATAATAGAATTAAATGTGAAAATCAACAATATGTAAAAAAATTATTAAAAATACTATTTATAATTCAAATTTGATCGATACTTATTTAATAATAAAAATTTTATCAATATTTTTATTAAAATATCTATTTAATAAATATATCACAATTTGTTAAAATTTTTTCAAATTTTACATCTTTGATCTATTTAATGAAATTTTTTAATGTATCAATTTTGATTTTTTATTTTTATTTACCTTTTTTTAATAAAGAACTTAATGAACTTCATGTATGAAGTTAAAATGACATTTGGCTTCTATGTGAGATAATTATTCTTTTTCACATGTTTATGTGATGGGACAAACCACAATATTAGAAAAGTGAGTTTAGTTAAATGGCAAAATTCTTAGTTTTTCAATAAAAGAAAGGAATGTTTTAGTTTTAACATTAAATTTATAAATTGATTTTAGATTTCGAGCCTTCCCTAATAACTACTTTTCAAACCCTTTTTTTCTTCTATTAAAGCATAAATTTGAAATAGTAAATTTTTTAAATTTTTTTTCTTTTACATGTAATATTTCTATCGACAGAAAAATGAATCTTCATCAATTTCATTTCCAAAATGTCATTTTAAATTTTTTATTAGTTATATATTAATCAACAATTACAGTTAATTATATGATGCTGCTCATTAGTTATTTTATTGATTTTAAATAGTTAAGATTTATTTCAATTCATACATCACTACTATTTAATTATGATTATTATTCATTTTAAGTTATATATTAACTTTGAATCACAGTATTTTCACTCTACTTCTGTCAATGTTTTTTTTTTTTTCTATCTAATTAGATCATTAAACCAAATATTTATAATAAATAACTTTTCATTTTGTAGAATATAGTAAATAACAATATCAATTCACTTTTCTATTTGTCTTTATTAAAAATTAAATAATTAGAGAGCTCTTATTATTTATTGGTATGAGTTTTATTTTGCTTATACATTGGTCCGATAGCCGATAAGAAGTAGATAACATCAATGTCTATGTATTATTAGATATAAAAAGAATTTTGCCAACAATTAGAGCTACTTTCATTGCATTCTCTAAATTTTTTTTACACTTAATTCGTTTGACATCTTGTAATTGGTTTTTTAGATAGGTCCTAAATTGAAATATTGTTATAATTTATAAGATTTAGGAATGATCAAATAGCTCATTGCTTTTGTTTCTAATTACACGAAATTTTAATCGAGGTTTTTGGTTTTCCTAAAATTTTAAAATATAATTCAATAAACTATTATTAATTATAGTATATATGCATTATGCGTGTCTTTTTTTGATAATATATAAATTTTATTTATACACAATATATGTAATTATATGTTCAATGTATAATTATTATAATAAAAAGAAATAAAAAATAGATATTCATATGCAACATACCTGATAAAAAAAAAATTAGTATAGATAAAGTGCTAAACTTGTTAAAATTATTTTCTTTTTGAAAAGCAAGTGCCATAAGTAATACCAATCAATTCAATATAATAATAATATGTATATGTATATGTATATATGTAGCTGAGGCATATGATTAAATTTTTCCATGGTTTTGACTTTTGAGTTACGTAATAAAAGGCAAGCTTTTTTATCTCATAAATTCTATAATTCGCTCCTAAAATTTGATCTTCACGTACACTTGAAATTTGAAAATCTTTTTCACGTTATCTGAAGATAGACCGATCGCTTTGAAACGACCAACACACGTGTATTGCAGTATAAAATTCTTGTTGATACGAACACACATGTCCTTGGTTTGAAATTGGTACTGCAAGAATTTTCTACCAAGTTGATTTTGTTGATAGTCACACAGGTATATCTCTTGTAGGAAAATCTATATTTGCGGATCTCCCTTGGCTTAAAAGAATTTTTCGAGCTGACACTTGTTTGCAAGAAACCGAAATAAACAAATAAATAAGCAAAAAGTCAAATAATGCTTTTTCTAATGGATTATATAACAACGATAGAAATGTGTGTTTCACGACTGGACCCCATAATAATTAATCCACATCTATATATAGTCATAGACTTTTTGATTTTAAATTTCTCTACCTTCAAACCACTATTCCTCAAATATGTTATTAAGATAGGATTTATAATTTGCTAAAAAAGTTATCCTTCCAAAATATATTATTAATTTCCAAGTTGATTTTTGTGCGTAACAAGAAACTAGAAGCTCATTTTTATTTTTTTTTGTTTAATATTTGAGGTTGTCATGAATCAAACTTTATAAAATTAAAATTCTAATATTTTATCAAATCACGTGAGCCATTGACAATAAACCCTATTATGATAATATACCCAAAAACAATAATTACTAATTAATATTATTAAACTCAACTCTATGTATTATTCTCGAAAACCCAACTAACATATTAAAACTAAAGAAAACATAAAGTACCACCATTAAAAGTAATTAAAGATTGCTATATATTAATTAGGAGAGTGGACTCAACATGATGCGTACTTAATTTTTCTTCTTTGTTTTATACATATACATACATATATATACATATATATGAGAATCTTCTCTACCTGATGGCCAAAAGAAAAATGATAAGTACAATTGGAAAAAGATGATGAATTTAACTTACACGTTTTAAAGTCCTCCTACTACCATCGGAGACAAAAGGTCAGAGCCGTTTGCAATTTATCTTAGAAAAGTTTTACATATATATAAATATATATATTTGAAAAAAAAAAGTTTTACATATTAAATAGAAGAAAAAAGTTATATATAATGGTTTAATACATTTATTTCACATACTCAACATAATGTTTAAGTTTTCAAAATTACTTTTAAGTCTTTAGGATAAAAATAAATTTATAATTAAATACTTCCTTTTGGAGCAAATGAACGTGTCATGAAATTCAACGACTAAGGGTTGCAATGAAAAAGGATAAACAGCTGCATGTTTGCATCCTAGTTGGCCGATAAAAATATACCTTTAGAGAGCCAAGGAACCAACGATACTCAACTTTTCATTTTCATTTTAGTCTTGAAAAAAGATGTATACATATCATCTACCTAGTTGGAAGCCAAGCCTCTGCTTCAAAATAAATAAATATTTAATACTATTAAAATATTTCATTTAAACGGGCCTCCTTTTTACTGGACCTGCAACAAAAACACATAATTTAGCCCGTTAAAGATGTTCGTATGATCGGTTCTTCCTTGTTAACTAATAACCTCAAGTTTGGCCAAATTTTTTTAAGGTAAATCAATCTACATAACATTAAATTTGAGTTCTTTGTCATTAATTAGGAAAAAAATAATTTATAATTACTTGACATTTGGTAAAATTTGAGAGACTTATTATATATAAAAAAAAAAATTAATTTTATTCTTCTTCAAGTCTTAATGGAAGGCTGAAGCCATCCTTTATAGGTTTTGGCCCATATCTTTGTGATATATATTTTGGGCTTTTGTTTTTTTATGTATAAAATTTGTAAAAATATATATATATATATATATTTGTTAAAGAATAATAAAAAATAATGTTAAATTAAATTTATCAAAGTACTTTAAAGATAAAAATAATTTTAAATCAAATTTAAGAATAAAATTTTAAATAAAATAATTTATTGAATATATTATATTATTTTTAATTTAAAAAATCATCATTTCAAAATAATTATCTTGATTTTATTATAACTACTTTTATATACCATTAATTTAATATCTTTTATAAATAATTATAAAACGTTACCCCTTGCGAAGTGGGGCATCTCTCTTCTTAATTATAAAAAGCAGGACATTACAAGGAATAAGAAGCAATATGCTGTTATTAGGCAGGGCCAAAAGAGATAAAAGTAAGTTTAAGAAGCCACGAATCAAAAAAAGAAAACACATCTAATTAAATCATTCTATAAAGTTTTGAGTTCTATTCACCCCTAATTTGGTAAGGTCATCAGCAAATTCATTTGTTTGCCACAGTCAGAAAAATTGTCAATTTCCCAGTTGTTCCAAATTTTCAACATACAATATGTTCTTCTTCAACCCCAAGCAGTATTTAAGTGAGCGGTGAAACGTGTTCTTTAATTTGAAAGCTTGACAGCATAATATTTGAAATGAAATAATGGAGGTTGGGTTAGTCTTGGTGAGATTAGAAGTTTTAATTCTTTTTGTGTTTCATAACCTATTCTTCGAACTTTTTTTTTTTTTTTGATAAAGATGAGACTAGTGGCCTTGGTGCTTATAATTGTTTCTTAATTTCCGGCTTAAACGAGTGACAACTAGATCTCAAAATCGAACCTACGCTCAAACGACAGTGATAGGGACGAAACGTGCTCTACTCACAGTCACTGAAATCCATTAATTCTTTTGATTTTCTTATTAAATTTTACGGATGTACATATAATTAAACCCATGAACATATATTTTTTTGTTGATTGTACATATATATATATATGAGTTTTATGTACATTAACAATCCCATACTTTGTAATTCAAATCCATTATTCATCACTTTTTTAAGAATAGATTTAAAGTTTAATATCATCTTTGATGCATAAGGTGATAAATAAGATAAAATGATAATTATCTTATATTATATTTGATTTGTATCTAAAAAAATGGATAAAATTATAAAAAGGATTAATCATCCTATTAGAGAATGATTTTAATTCATAAGATTAAACTTATATGTCATATTATATTCTTAAAAATTATAATAATAACTTAAATTGTATAAACTTTAAATAAAGATAATTTTGACGAATAAATAAA